GAGAACTAGAAGTGTTTGGCAATTAAGATTAAATTATATTTGGTGTTAAAATATGAAACATCGTTCTGGGATTCCTGGCAACTGGTACCTTGCAAAGTTACTAGACTATTCCACCCTATGTTCTTCTTCATCATCATAATCTTAGAACTGCAGAGCTAGAAGGGACCCTATAGATCATCAAGTCCAACCCCCATTAGGGAGGCAACTCCCAACCTCTGGCTTCATAGCCAGAGCCGTAAGAGACACACATATCATTCAAGTGTCCCTTGTACTGTGGGGTCTCTTCTGGGAGAGAAGTAGAGTAATTTGTTGACCAAGCGCAAAGGTTGCTCCCCTGCTCTAGTCATAAGCTCCTTGTGGACGAGGGTTAGGGTGGTACTTAGTTTTGGAAAACTGCTACAGCTGGCTGCGGTTTCTGAGAATTGTAGTCCAGAAAATAACATATGATACGTTCTGAAAAAAATAAATGTCATGTGTTCAGAAACAGAGGCTGTGCTACTTACTAGACTGGCAACCTCTAAATACATCTGTGACTCTCTGTTAGGTTCTCTTCTGTTGCTGATGCCTCAACCAACTTTCCACTTCTTCCTGATCATACACTCTTCCTTCAAATCCCAATTCAAGATCCACCCCAAACTACTCTTCGAAACACATTTGGGGACTGCTATGTCTGCAGTCTGAGCTGCAGGACTGACCCTGAAATGCCAGACCCAGAATGGTCTACAGTAGTTTGTTCACCTGGCAAACGTCGAAAGAAAGCAACGTTCCTAGAATTCATGAATGCTGTACAAATCCTGACAGCAAACTGCAGGGGAAAAAAACAGTGCTCCTCACAGCTGTAAGGTCCAAGCCACACTGCCCACTGATGGCTTAGTTGTGGGCCCTTGGACCTTCTGTTTCTCTGGTTGGTGCTCAAGAGATTCCCCTTGACATTTAGTCCAGTCGTGTCTGACTCTAGGGCACCGTGCTCATCCCTGTCTCCAAGCCGTAGAGCCAGCGTTTGTCCGAAGACAGTTTCCATGGTCACGTGACCAGCGCAGCTAGACACGGAATGCTGTTACTTTCCCACTGTGGTGGTACCTATTTATCTACTCGCATTTTTACATGCTTTCAAATGGCTAGGTTGGCAGGAGCTGGGACAAGCGATGGGAGCTCCCTCCGTCGCGTGAATTCGATCTTAGAACTGCTGGTTTTCTGACCTTGCAACACAGAGGCTTCTGCGGTTTAACCCACAGTGCCACCACGTCCCTCAGAAGAGACCATCCCAAGCCTTTCCCCCCATCCTACTTCACTTTACCTTCCCTCTGCTTGCAGCTACTGTTATTGAGCAGCACCAAATAACCACTAGAAGTCTCATTTGGGTAAATATATGTTTAACTTCAGGATCCACACCCTTCAGTAAATAGCTTAATCCTCTCCTTGACCTCATCTTTACTCCAAAGTTTGGAAAAACTTGCTTTTTCTGATGACCAGGATTCCGCAACCAGCATGGCCACAGACACACTGGCTGGGGGGAGTTTGGTCCTTCTAGTTCAATAAAGTAACTTTTCCAAATTCTGGTCAAATTCCTGACTCCTTCCCTCCTTTGTTCATTCATATACACCCCTTATCATCCCTGTTTTGCACATCAATAAGCATCCGCTCCATGAAAAGATGTATGAGTAGCAGAACAAAGGAGAAGGGGCAGCTAGAACAGCGTTTTGGCATAGATTCAGTTCTCAAACATCAGCGCTGAAGTCTCCTCCTAAGCAACAGAAAGCATTTTAAAGCATTTGTTTCCCTCCAGGTCTGTTCACTCCGCGAACTGGAGACAATATCTGAGAATGCCTTACCATACCGCAACCTTCTGCTGGTACTGGGTTCATCTGGTCAGGCTCTGACCAGAGACCTTTATGCTAAGCTATCACTTCATCCACAGATGAGATTTTTGTGTTGAGGAAGAAATCAATTTATGGGACACATCTCCTCGGAAAGGACAACAATGGGTCTGGCCTGGGGAGTTGTCCTCCTACAAACAGACGTCCCACAGCCTCTTTTTCTAAAAGTAAGAACACTTTCTTAAAAGCTACAATTCAAGGCCTCTTTAGACTGTCGTCTGATGCTGTCTATGTTTGTTTTATTGCTGCAATAGTAGCATTTTATTGCCATTCTGTGTATTTTTACTATTTTTATTGATTTTGTGTTCTTGTTTAGTTCTGTTTAACATGAAATATGATCTCCAGCTGGAAAAAAAAAACTTCTTATTTTGCTGCCATGTCATCTTTCTTAGTCAATGGACCACTAGCTTTCAAAACATCTATCTATGTTACTTTTCTTGCCCATTCCTACTTAGTGGGTCCACGCTAAAAATACTGAGAGAGAGCAGCAGAGTAGTTGAAACGGTGACACTTGTTAACACAGCTCTCAATAACAATAAAATGCTTGCTGTTATTACGTGCCACCAAGTCACTTCCAACGTAAGGTGACCCTATGAATGAAAGATCTCCAGCAAGTCTGGTTCTCAACAGCCTTGCTCAGCTCTTGCAAACTCATGCCTGTGGCTTCCTTTAAGGATCCAGTCCATCTCACATTTGATCTTCCTCTTTTCTTGCTGCTGCCTTCAACTTTTGCCAGCATTATGGTCTTTCCCAGAGAATCTTGTGTTCTCGTGATGTGCCCAAAATAGGACAACCCCAGTTTCAACCATTTTGCCTCCAAAGACAGTTCAGGCTTGATTTGATCTAGGACCCACTTGCTCATCTTTCTGGGTATCCACAAAGCTCTCTTCCAGCACCGTGTTTCAAATGAATCAAATTTTTTTTCTGATCAGCTTTCTTTATGTCCAGTTTTCACAACCATACATGGTGACTGGAAACACAAGAATGGTCTCCTGTGACACATCATTACACCTGAAATAAAATGCTATCTCCTTGCTTTGATTATTTTTAAACCAAACAAAACATTTACTTCACTGAACAGATTAGCCACAAACTAGACTTGACAGGACCATATCTAAGCTCAGAATGTTGCCTATGTAGCTCAGCAGAAGTCTCATTTGTATAAATGTGAATTTGTAGACAGTTTATCAGTTCAACCAGAACAAGCATATAATCTACCTCTAAATACCCTAACGTAACATAAACTAAGCAACAGAATATCTACCCATCCCCATACAGCACCTTATAGGATATTCTAAGAGACACATATGAAACATACTATATGGAATGATTTTTCCTCTATAACCTGAATAAAGCATCACGGAATCCAGTGTTACCCACAATGGGCAGTAAGATTTTTTTTTCCAGTGTTAGAAGGCAGAGTTTTTAACCATAACTTTAAATGGCAATGGTTGATGAGAGTTGCAGTCCAAAATACTGTCTCTTTTGAGCACCCGGTGAGAAAAGGCTGGTCTACAGCACTGAACCACATATTACGGATCACATTATGGCCAGCCCTTTCCTCTCGCAGTGAACCACAGAGAAAGCGCCAAAGAAAGCACATCAGAGACCTTTATGCTATCACTTCATCCACAGATGAGATTTTTGCGCTAACTTTATGAGGAGGTCTTTAAAGGCTTGTGAATGATATTTGTGCCTTCAAACCTTTATACACCCAATTTAACATAATCAATGCTATTACCTCTACAAATGACTGAGGTAGGTAAGCATAGTCTCTTCCAGGGTGATAAAGGAGATTATGGCTCTTAATATTGACTGTGTGCCTACTCAAACCTTCTTCGCATTTGAAAATCTCTATCTAAAAGGCCTCTGCCACGCTGGCATTCCACACCACAGGCCATCAGACCTTCCAGAACTGCTCTACAAATTTGCTGGGATCCTGTCATACTGGCATGCTAGCACTGCTCCAGTAAATGTTTCATGCAGGTGAGAAGCTGCATAGTAAAGTCCTCCTACCTGTGAAATATCCTGCTCCCCAATACTAATGTATGAGGATGGATGCTAGTTTTGAAGCTTTGTTCCTTCCACACCTGTTTCTTACATGCAGACTTATTATTTTCACATGATGGGAAATTCATTGCGCCTCCCAACAGATAAACAGCAGCTGGCTCCAGCAGTCCTGTGCTGTTCTTCAACAAAAGCTCAAAATATTTGTCATAATATTCCTCCTGAGCCTCCAACTGCTCAATGTTCTGTGGGAAATGTCCCCATGAGTGTAAAAACTTACACTCGAAGATGTAACTTACCGGCTTCCAAAGGAAGCATCTCATAGCTATAGTGATCCTGTGCAATAATAACATCTCCATGAACGTGGAGTGGATACATGGCCACAGAGGTATCACTATGCTGCATCTTTTTGGATGTAGCCTCATGAGTTGTAACTCTTTCTCTGAAGCCTTGCTAAATCCTATATATTCGTATTCAGAAGCAGAGAAACCAAGGGACTGCAAAATAGTCATACACATGGTGAGCAGTTTGTCTTATTCTTTCTGAAGCTTGTGGACATAACGCACTTTCAGATCTTTCTCTACAAGAACTAGGGAAAACACCTAATAGACTCCTTTCTAATTAATGCACTGGAATCAACATTTTAATGAGAGCCTCCAGGCGGCCCAAATTTATCCTGTTATATGGACCCCCTATGACTACAGGCACCATTATTCAAAATGGTTGCAAACCTATTTTCTCTGTTAAGTTGTTTGCCCACAGCTACGTTTCACAGATCTGAATATTTCTTATTCAGCTACCAGAGGATATGTTGTATGTGTGTAACACTTGATGCTTTACTCGGTCTTTTAGTTGTCGTAAGCTGTTAGGTGATGCATTAAGGTTAACAAAGAAACAAAGCAATGCAACCATATCTTTTCCCCGTTAGCAGCAGAGATATGGTTAAAGCAAGGCAACCGTAGCATTAGGAGCTTTCAGAACCCATAACTGATACGTCGGTCAGCATGGTCTGCTAAACTACTCGTGGTTAGATGCAATGCCAATGAGGTGACGATGGAGTTAGTTGCTTCGGTGGGTCTCTACGGGAAGGCCACAGCCCACTGGCCTCTGCATTACCATTATCAGGGTTGGTAAACATCCTACTTGCACTGGAGACGGTTTTCCCGATGTCAGCCAAAGAACGTAGGTTAGATTTTTTGGTCTGATGCCGGTGCTTCCTGAGCAGCGTATAGGTGACCTTGTCCTTCATGTCTGCTTTCAACAGCCCCGTCTCAATCTGGTTGTCCACCACCATCTCTGTCGAAGTGGAAAGGGTCAGCCGGGAGACGAGATGGAGAGGGAATGGAAAAGGAGAAAGCGATGTATAAATTTAAAAAGGAAATTATCTGGAAGTTTGCTCTTCCCACCCCGTTAATGAACAATTGCATAAGACCTATTGATTGATTGATTGGTTGATTGGTTGATTGATTGATTGACTGATTGATTGATTGATTGATTGATTTGATCTGATTTGATTTCTACCCCGCCCCCCTAGACAGCGTCTACTCGTTTTCACTCTGCCAGCATCAGGGATGGAGGTTGTAATCTAATTTATCTACGGCACACCTGGTTGGAAAAGACTGATGTGGAATTTTGCAAGTCCAACCAACTAAACTCTTTTATTTCCCCGGAAATGACAGGTTCTTCTTGGCCATGTGTTAAGAAGGAGGTGAGGAGACATCCCGCCCACCGACTGTTCTCTATATGTATTTCAGTGAACATAGAGACATCTAAAAGAGATAGCAGCTCCAAAACCAGCTGCTAGGATGGTAGTATTACCAACCCTCCCTTCTTCTACTGTTATGTTCCTGTGTTACCTGCCAAAATCTAGAAGAAAAAGCACATTCCGCCTGACACATAGGTTTGTAACATAGGTAGCTGCTCATTGGTTATGTTCCTGTGTTACCTGCCAAAATCTGGAAGAAAAAGCACATTCCGGTTCGTAACATAGGTAGCTGCTCACTGTGATATTTAATAATTGTGTGTTGTTTCTGACTGATTCAGGATAGCCAATCCTCAGAAACAGTTTGTCATTCCCTTTTCCTGAGGGTATCCTGGGACTGCACAGCTTGCCCAAGGCCACATAGGCTGCGTCTTCTGGGATGAGCAGTGGGGAACTGAATTTACCACCTCTGGCTCTGCAGCCAGAAGCCTAAGCTGCTGAGCTATCCAGCCATAATCTCAGTAAAATAAGAGATACCCCGCTTAACGATTACCCCACCTGATGACAAATCTGCTTCATGACGATGTTTTTGCAATCGCAAAGCAATGTTTTGATGGGCTTTTTTTGCTTCCTGACGATCGGTTCCCTGCTTTGGGAACCGATTCTTCGCATTACGACAATCAAAACAGCTGATCGTCGGGTTTTTAAAATGGCCGCCGGCTGCTCAAAATGGCTCCCCGCTGTTTTTAGGAGGCATTTTCCGCTGCACAGGCACCCAAAAATGGCCACCCTATGGAGGATCTTCGCTGGACGAGCAGGTATTTCACCCATTGGAATGCACTGAACAGTTTTCAATATGTTTCAATGGGCTTTTTTATTTCGCTCGACGAGGATTTCGCTCTACAGCAATTTCGCTGGAACGGATTATCTTCATCAAGCGAGGCACCACTGTACTGCACTTCTGGAACTTGACCCAGAACTTTGCGTCCTGATCATCTTTGCCAGCATTTTAAAAAAATCCAGAGTCCTGATGATTATGTCATAAGTACCCAAGGCATTGCTCACTGAAGGTTTTGTAAACTGGGAGAGGGATCCCACGCTTCCAACAAAGCCAACCCAAAACTGACATCCTGTCCAGTGGCCCACGCTGGTTCTTATGAAGCCGAACGGTCACAGATCAAACATGCTTTCTTTGAGAGTCCTTACCCACGACTTGAGGGAGTGACGATGCCTCTAAATCCAGCATAATCGACCCTTTCTCTATACATGTTCTCAGCTCAAACAAGCTGTGCAGGGACAAGGTGGCGACGTGCGGTTTACTCCATCTCTCCCCTCCTTGTTCCACTTTTTCTTCAAATTTTATCCACCTGAAAGTGGGAGAGGGAAAAAAATCAATCAAGAGGAATGCAGGAAGAGTGCCGTTTTTCAACAGGCGTCTTTTTTAGCCCGCTGAAGGCAAACAAAGAAAGGTAGCCGGCCACGGAGAGCTCCCCTCTGTGTGTCATGTCAGACATATTATGTCTCATACACGGCAGATATAAAAGATCCCCTTGACAATGTACAGCACTAACAGATCCCAAGGACCATTATCTCCCAATCCATGTAATACATATTATGATAGTTTCCCAAATTTTAAATGAACTGTACACTTTATTTAGTGAAAAATAAACACTGGCTTCAGTTTCACCTGTTTCCAGCTTGGTCTCAGCCAGATATTGCATCAACCCAGATACTACCCCAAATCATAGCTTGGAATTTCCAAACTTTGTGCCACACAAAATAAAATCTGCTCTTATTTTCTCTCTGCGCAGGACGACAATTTCAATATGTGGAAGCAAACCACTGGCAGTCACTATGGCTATAACACTAAGCATGAGCACATACTGCGGTTGACAATCCTATTTCAAAACAGTTCTGCTTTGATGCTCAGCTGCAAACCTTAGTTCACAATACAGTACAAATCGTAATTAAGTCTCCTCCACCATGGTTCGAGATCATGTCTCAACTGAGGGACTGTAATCAGAGGTTTCCAATTCCCTTCAAACTCGTGTCAGACGAAAGATGGGTCACAGAAATCCAGCTGCTGCTGCTGGATTTTTCCATCTTTATGGAAGAAGAGATTCTCATTTTGCACCTGCTGGACATCTTCCTCCCACACAGCTATTAAAGCATAAAGGACGCTCCCATGGGGTCAGGAGTTTAAGCCCATGTCTGTGGTTATGAAATAGCCCTTAGGTGTGGAAAAAAATGTCTTACACAGTACAGCAGTTGCCCTTTGCCCTAATCTTCAACTAAAATTGAGAAAGACGGATTTGCTTTTCTCTTTTTTTCATCGGGGGGGGGCGATTGTCTCTTTTATTTTTCATCATTAAAGCAAACATTTGCTTCTGTTGTTTTCATATGGGAAACTCATGTTTCCCATAAACGAGATTCCAGGTACGCTTTTTATTGTGCAATTACTTACTATTATACAAATCATCATAATAAATATCTTGCTAAACTGTTAGATGCAGGTGAGTTACTAAGGAATTTCACCTTTAACATTAGGTACCACAAAGACTGAACATGACTCAACTCACCAAGATTTATGTCATTTGTAGGAGAAAAACACAGGAGAAATGTGTGTGTGTGTGTTTGTTTTTTGACACATCTTCATTAGAGCAGCATTGCCTGGCATGTACATTTTTACATGAAACTAAAACCTAACTCAGACACTATAGTTTTGGAATTATAGTTGTGATTTCAAAATAACGTATCATGGGAGGGAGACAAATAACAAACTATACCTATTGAAGTTTCCTCTTTTGCATAGTTACGGAAGCCCTAATCTCGTTTCCAAGTCGGTCAAATAGCTCAGTGAGTTGTGTACCTGGCTGTCAACCCAGAGTTCGGGAGTTCAATTCCTCACTGTGTCTCCAGGGAGAAGAAAACAATCCCTGAATATCCCACACACAGAAGAAGGCAATGGTTAACCAGTTCTGAGTATTCTACACATAGAAAACCCTGGAATGGTTCATCATGAGCCAAAATTGATTGAACAGCACATTATTATTATTATTATCTCCCATCTTTGCCATCTGACAGAACTACTGTTTTAAAGAACTACTGCATCTTTCCCAAGACCCTTTCTGCATATCTGGTACATAGTCCTATGCTGCTTATCCTATCAACAGAAGCTTTACCCTTCAGGCTAGGGGATTCTTGTATCAGCAGCTACATGGCAACTTTAAGAAAATATTCTAAACAAGAATCCCAGGTGGAAATCATAAGGCAGCTTTTCTTATCCTGACTTCCTCTAGGCACTGGGGATTACAATTCCCATCATTTCCAGAGAGTGTGGCCCTGCTGGCTGGGGTGATGGGAATCCAACATGTCTGATGGGTGTTAGGACAGGAAAGACTGCCATTTTGCATGTCAAGGTTAATCTCCCCTGTCTAGGAAGACATCTAGCCTTATTAACCTCTTGTTTCCTTCTTTGGTTTCCTGTATCAGGATTTGAATCCATATTTGAGAACAGAAAATAAAATTCTGTACAACAGTATGAATCATAGAATAGTGAAGTTGGAAGGGACCTATAAGGCCATCAAGTCCAACCCCCTGTTCAGTACAAGAATATTAATCAAAGGATATGTTCCATGGGGAATTTAGCAGGAAAGAATTGTTGTAAGTAGGGCTGCAAACTTCACTTAGTTTAATCCACAGACTCATTAGTAAAATTAATAATTTTAATCAGTGGGTTAAAGAATTAAGGGCAAACCTGTTTCTTTTTAAATTCTTTTGTGTTTCCATAATATGGGAGGGGGGACAAAACAGAGTGGCAGTTTTTGTTGCCTTTTCAACTTCATGATGTTTGCTTCAATATCTGAAAAAATATAAAGACATCCATACAAACGTAGTAGTCCTATATATTTCGTTGGTAAATGATTAGATGGTAACTCAGTTCACCCCAGCCTGAGTAGGCATACTGAATTAATGGGATGCTGATAAGTTGATGCTTCCCCTTGACATTTAGTGCAGTCCTGTCTGACTCTAGGGGGCGGTGCTCATCCCCGTTTCCAAGCCATAAAGCCAGCGTTTGTCCAAAGACAATCTTCAGTGGTCACGTGGCCAGCGTGACTAGACACGGAACGCCATGACCTTCCAACCGAGGAGGTACCTATTTATCTATTCGCATTTTGCATGCTTTCGAACTGTTAGGTTGGCGGGAGCTGGGACAACCGAGGGGAGCTCACTCCGACATGTGGATTCGATCTTACAATGGCTGGTCTTCTGACCATGCAGCACAGAGGCTTCTACGGTTTAACCCGCAGCACCACCACGTCCCTGATGCTTATGTAAATCCCACTAATTCAGTAGCCCTACTCTGACCGGGATTAACAACTATATTTTGCCCTTCATCTTTGTTAAATTCAAGCTGACAGCCCAAGTTGTAGAAAATAAAACTTTATGCCACAGGTCATATAAACTGGCTATATTCCAGTCTTTAATTCAGCTTCTATCTATTCATGTATTTCATCTTTCTCCCAGTGAGCTCAGAACCAGTCACAAGGTCCTCACACTTCTGCTTCCTTTTTCTCCCTTCAACCACCTACACTTTCCTCTAATCATGCCACTTTCATCTTTCTCCCAGTGAGCTCAGAACCGGTCACACAGTTCTCACACTTCTACTTCCTTTAACAATCACCTACACTCTCCTCTAGTCATGCCATCCCCATTTCAGCCCCAAACACCCATCATTCGCTTTCAGGATGTTCACCACCATGATGTTCAGTGAGCCTCTTGACTTAGGCAGATGATGGAGAGAGATGCAAAATGAACAGTAGGGATTACCACGGCTTTTTCATTTCATTGGCCAACTCATTGGCAAATGACCATTCTACAGTGGTAGAACTGTAGACCATTCTACAGTTGGTCTTTGAACTAATTCACCAGCACAGCCGGCAGAGACAAATTCATAATGCTGAAGCAGAAACTCAGATGCATTTGCTAAAAATTCTATTAGCACTGCAAACCCTGATCCTACCCTTTCCTGACATGTCCTGATCAAGCACGTCAACTCTCCAACCATCTCAAATGTAGTTGGCAATATATTATTATGCTAAGCAATTCTGTTGTTGTTGTTTAGTCGTTAAGTTGCGTCCGACTAAAAGCAGTTTAGTTTAACTAAAAGCAGTTCTATTAACTGCTAATATCTATCAAACGGGGGGGGAGTGGGTAATCTAATAAAGAAGAAATCTCAGGTTCTATTACAAGGGGAGCAACTAAAGTAATTAGAACAGACAGCATTGAGACAGCACTCTGACTACAGCTTATAAAAGTTACTTTTTCAAACTGTCAGAAATCTCAGTCTTACTTTATATGTAAGGTCAAGGGCAGAATAAGGATGACCAAAGAAACCACTGTTCAATGTCACATAAAGGGGAAAAAACATTGTTCTTTCTTGCCCATTTTCTTAGAAATATGCAAAACTAAAGGCATGAACAAAGTGAGAAATGTTATATAGCTGTCAGTTTTAAGGAACATCATCTCTAACTGAGCTTTCAAATCAACAGAAGAATTCCTTGTCGTAACATAACCGCCTTCTTCAAAGCAACTCAACGACAGTCTTGGTTAAAGAACGCACGACAAGCCAACACAGCAAAAGAAGCTAACTCTATCAAATTGTACCATCCTTAGGTGACATAATTTAACAGACTTTTGTTGCCTTTTCAACTGTGGCTCTGAAAGCTCGGTCTATTTAAAAAAAAATCTTCCAGTGCTGTGAAGGAACTTCATTGCATGGTTGAACTCAATTTCTCTCTCCCCCCACAGTTTCTGCAACTTCTTGAAAACCAGCTGCAGGTTTTAAGGGCAGATGGCAGGAAAGGAGGGGTTGTATTTTTCTATCCAATGAAGTCCAGCACTTGATCCTACCTCCTATCCAGGAATGCCACATACATAAAAGAAATCTTTTTGCTTGCTGTGCTGGCTACATCTTTAGGAGCAACAACTGATAAAATACACCTGTCCTGCATTAAACGATGCTTCTGCATCTAGTGACAGGGACATAAATTCCTTACCCATGGAGGACCTCATTTTCCCCCCCCCTTTTTTTTTAAACTGCAAAGGAATCACTGGAACAGGTTTTTTTTAAATGACAAATTAGTTCTAACATATTTACCATGTTCCATGGTGGACCAAACACACTGCCAGCAATTCACCTTGCACACCCGCTCTGCAGCCAACACTATAATTAAGTGGCAAGCCATTAAAAGAAGAGAAAGTTGTCCGGACATCAGGCAGCCAAAAGAATTTCAACCTTTTCCTATTATTTAAGCCAGAAGTGGGGGGAAAGGTTCATTTGGATTTGGACGGCGCTTTAAAGGTGAACACCTCTGGACTGTGGATCGCGTCCCACTTGTTCAGGTTCATCACGGGCTACAGTCCTTCAAAGGTGAATTACAAAAATAAAGAGTTGTTCGTCTTTAAGAGGCCACAGAACTCTTTGTTAGTTTTGCTGCAACAGAACAACAAGCTTAACACTCCTCCCCAATCTACTGATTGATATCTGATTACTTGCAGTCCATTACATAAATGTTTCAGATTGCCACTACCAACCAAATGTCTTCCCCCCCCCTTCTAAATTAGGTTACTGAGAAGCACACTGCTTTTCATACAAAGCACAATGTCCTCTGTTTTCTCTCTAAAGGTAACCAAGGGTCAATTTAGCATAGCTTGTTTCCCAGGAGCACATTTCATTTAGGAATACTGTATAGTCCAATGAAGTAACTGTTGCAAGTTCTGTGTAAAAGCAACTTTTATCCATGCATTTCTGCCTAACAAGATAGAGTAGAGTCTAGACCTTTAGAAATATTTTCAGCTACATGCAATAACACCATTTATTTAATTCCTTAGAAGTGTGAGTGCTTATTGCAACATGACTACCCCAACCAAGCCTCTGATAAAGACAACTATAGCGTATTGGCATATTGATTTGATCAGGTCACCTTTGGGAAAATGGAAGGAATCACTGTATTTCCAACCCATACCCAAAATTCTACTGGGGATTTACACATGGGTGATTTACACACGTTTAAGTGACTAAACTGTGACAACAAATTGCCACAAATTAAAAGGTGGCGAGTTGCATTACTGGTCATGTATCAGGTCATATGACTGACACATGATCAGAAATTTAAGCAGCAATGTGTTCATTAACAGCCATTGGCTGCCACAACTTACACAATTGTACTTATGTTGGTCTAATTTCCCAGTAAGATACTGGTCCATATCAATTTCACATTTTTTCATTCATCATTTCATTCTATTCCTACATGGATGTGGAGTTTTTTTTAAAAAAAAGAAAACATAATAAATACAATATTTAAAACATACTGTTCATGAAATATCCATTTCTAGAAGTATTTTGGGATTCCCAGTGTGGTGTACTGGAAAGAGTGACAGGCTAGAACTCTAGAGAACAGGATTGAATCCCTACTTGGCCATGGAAACTCATGATGTGAGTGTAACTGATAAAACATTAAATATCTCACTTACCTTGAAAGCCCTTTTAGGTTCACTGTAAGTCAGTTCCAACTTGATGGCACAGAACACACAGAGGTATTTTATTGAAATGTAGATATTTCTCTTTTTTATTATGATAAAATATGCATTTTGATACACTTTTGGGCCACGACAACAGTGTTGTCATCCCACTGTCACGGCAAAAGGTACAGATCTGGTATGAAATCCGCATCAGGATTCACAAAGATCATATTCCCCAGACATCCACAGCTGCAGCCTCCATAGCCTCTTTGTCATTTTTACGGCAACAGACAAAAAATGCTCTTTTGGCAAAGTTAGAGGTGTGCACCTGACAGATGCAAACACAGGGAGATGGGGGGAATTAACTAATGCAAAGCAGCAGGTATACTCCCAGATGAAAGTCTTCCTAAATGAATTCTTGCAAATAAAGATGCTCTGCATTTTGTGATTACAGCATCCCTACAGCATCCATGTAATATGTGGCCATATACACAATGCTAGACTATCCGATCCATGCCAGCTTCCCAAATGAGTATATGATGGCACAGAAAGATGTGAGTGCACCTTGTTTGCTAGACAGGCATAAGCATCTGACACCAATGTTTCCCCACAATATTTACAATGAGCAGTAATGACATACATTACCGTAAGTGCAGCAACATAAATTGATGAACTGCCGCTAGTTAAGAAGGCAATGCTTGCACTTTTCATCACATGCCAGTTCACACCAGTAATGGGCAATGTGAAGTATGATCTCTCTCTTCAGTGACTGCAATTTACACTGCTAGACTTACACTCGCATATTTCACTAGTAAGATTCTAGCCAACAGATAGGTTGCAACTGGAATTGAGACAGGAGTGAGGTTTTCCTTGCCCCGTGAACTGCCACTGTAATCATTATGTATGAAACTGGATTAAGAAGGAACATTGGAGTTAGACAGCAAGGCGACAGCCACCATTCTTTAAAATAGACCTGGAAATAGTAAATTACCAGGGTTCCAATAGTAAAAGAAAACCAAATAGGTAATAGTTAAAATTCTGACTTTGTGCTCCACTGTTCAATGAATTATGTGACAGAAGTTTTTATTTTCCTCAAAAGGAAAAACAAAAATCTTCTTTCGAAAGAGAGATAATTTATTCTAACATCATAGTAAAGCAGCAGTTAAGCAAGCTGTATCAGAATTATTGCTAGGCTGGTAATATTGGAGGTAATGTGATTAATTATTGTCTAACTGGGTCATCACGTCCGCACAATTTATCTGTATACATTGTTCCCGAGTGGCCATAAACCCATTCCACTTTAGTAAGAAAACAAACATGGTTTGTTTGTTTGCTTGTTTAAATTGACATCAATAATCAAAATGTTAATCCTAAAAATAAGGGACTTTTAAGAGTTTGAAGAAACATATTAGGGTGTTTTATTCTATCAAACTGAAACGATGTCAGCTTTTTAACAATGATTCAGCATCAAGATTGGGAAACCCTGAATTTATATCTAGGTATCCAAAAAAATGAAATGTTTCACATAGATAAATTATTCAATAATTCTTAAAACAACCTTAAGAGTAGCCAGTATTATCCCCCACACTGCAGATGGGGAATTGAGGCAGACCGGTAGTATCTAACTTAAAAATATATTTTATGTGACAGAGACTATGCGAAGATTTGAACACAGGACTTTCTCTCTCAAATCTGCTTAACTACTATAGTATAAGAGTTCTACAAAAAGGTTGGAAGAAATCTTTTGGTGTCCTTTCATTGGAAACCCTTTCCAGAGTATTGGAATATAGTTACTGTATTATCAGTGTGGAGCCCCATATCTCAGGACGACATCCCCCTACATCTAATTAGTCAAGCATCAAAGAGAAAAAAAGGAGGAGGAAGAGTGAAAAGCACCAAGAAACCAGGTCTGCCACTGGTCCTCTTCAGAACCCCCAAAAGGAATCCCGACCCACCCACAACACTCTTCTTACCTTGCCGTCTCCTTCCACTCCATCTCTTGCCCATCAATGGCCAGGAGTTCGTCCAGTTCTGTGAACAGCTGGGGTGGCGCGGGGCTGTCATCATCTTCGCCCAAAATGAAGCGGATGCGCTCGGCAGCGGGGGAGACTGCGGAGGTGAAAATACTGCGATTAACGGACTCGGGGATGACCAAGGAAATGCGTCTCCGCTCCTTCCCCTGCTCCCCACATCCATTGGGCTGCTTCTCCTGGGTGCTTGGTCCATCGGACATTTTAGCTCCGAGCCTGAGCAGCTGCCTCTTTTTTAAAAAAATATATTTATTCCCTAGGTGCTCTCTTTTCTTAACACTTACTTCTAAAAACTTCAAGCTCGGGGTAAAGTTCAAGAGGACGGCGTGCCTTCTTCCCCCAATCACTTTAAGCAGTGTGTCAGCAGCAATCCCACACACCTTGTTGTCAAAAAAAAAACAGGCGAGAACTTCTAGGCTCAGCACCAATTTGTTCTATGGTGCATGCATGCCCAGGGACCTTTAGTCCTCTGATCAGCTGAGGGCCTTTAGAGACTGTTTCTTTATAGGCAGAGAACCAGTTTGAGCCAAACTATTTGGGGGGCACCTCACGGAGAGGAAGTGGCTTCCCGGTGCCAACTCCCCCCCCTCCCTTTGTGCAAAGCTGGAACTTTCATTGGCTTTCAAGGCATCACCTAGTTCCCTCCAAGACTCATTACCAGTGTAAAAGGGAATATTTAACAAAATACACAGTCTCCTCGTTTGCATGGGAAGCTGCGTGCTCTGGTCCACTTAGTCAAGTATCAGAGACACTAAGGAAAAGAGAAAGTGGGAGAGAATGAAAGACACAAGGGAAGCAATTCATCTACAGGTAAAACATGGACTGTGTGGCTAAAAAGAGCATCTATTTTGGCTCCATACTCTCAGGGCGAGAGAGATAACTGGACATCATTTTGACTTATTAAGGAAAAGGGAGAGGAGGAAGTTTTGTGACCAGTTCATACATCATGCAGAGGTTAACCTAGGTTTGGCATTGTGCGTCACTTCAAAAAGAAGCTATGGTTAATGACAGGTTCCCTGTTCTCCACAGCATGGAATCCTGAAAACACCCAGCGGTACAAGTCTTTGTGGACCATTTTCACAGGTCCAAATGGCTTTCTGTTCCAAAAAGATAAATTTGGTATATTCCACCATAAACCTTTCCAAAAGGGCAGGCATATGAGTCTGTTGCAACAAAACCTGCAGAAGCCTACAGCAACACCTTAATGGCTCAGAAAAGCAAAAATGGCATGAATTTTCTGGGAATATAAACAGCCTATGTTGTATTGCACATATTACTCTTTATAGTGCCACAAAACTTGCTCGTTTTTGCTGCAAAAGAATAACATGGCTATCTTTCTGGAAACTGGAGGATAATGTATGTTTACCCTATTCACATTTTACACTGTTGGGACACATTTTTCAGGTACACACGTGAAAAAAAGTTATGTGTGTCCCTTATTAATCCTGAGGGCAAAAAAAAGGGTGACAAATGAGAAATGTAGTTTTAAAAAGAACTGCTTCTTAAAATAGCCTTTTGAAAATATCTTTCCATCGGAGGCTCGGACTGATTTAGAGACACACCTGGGTCTTTAAAACCAGACCACAGTTTCTCCTATGCAAATCTGTGAAAGGAAGGAGGACTCAAGTTGCAAATGAGAAGCTCTGGGTATAAAGAGAATTGCTAATCCTTCTTCTGTCTGCTGTGTTCTTCCTACATCTCCTCACTAGATGTTGTTCTCTTCCCCATCTACCCCCAACAAGCCGAAGAATATGGTTGCAGGTTGCAATGCATGATTGTTCCTGAAGCATAGGCTGGAGTTAAAAGCAAATATTTGCAAATATTCCTAAAGAGGACCGATTATGCCTGTTCTGCCATTTGGTTCCGGATACACTTGATTTCCTGAAGCATAGGCTGGAGTTAAAAGCATCCCTCTCAATAGATGGGGAGCGTGCACAGCACTCCCATGGAGCAAGGCAGCCCTTTGCCATTTGCTCTTACAGAAGCAGTGGCTCAATGTCAAGAGCAGACGTCTGCAGGAAAACAAAGAGATGCATCTTTAAGTTGAAACGGGCCTAGACGCATGAGGCGGCAAAGAGAAAGCCATGTCTTAAGAACAGGGGCCATGATACTCCGGGGTTGATGCCTTGCACTGTTAGCTAGCTAGTCTTAAAATACAAGAACAAGAGGGGAAGAGTCTAGTTCTCGAGCTGTCTTCATGTTTCTGTATTAAGTCTGTTTGTATAGCAGCCGTCTCTCTAGATGAAAATGAAGAAACTGTCTCTTCTCTCCTTCCCTCTGTAGAGAAGGTACAGACGTTCAGAGCTTGTAAAGACCCAGAGGCTGGAAAAGCTTATTTAGACGACAAACTCACGGACTCCCCCAAACTACTTTGTGGAGTCTGAGAGCAGTAATCCAAAAGTAACCTTTTCCAAGCTCTAAGAGGTCTGCATGCTGGCCCCTGAGTGAGAGCCAAACACAGACAGACCAACCACTTTTCCCTTTTCTGACTTCATTGCCTTTTGTCCACTCTTCCTCCTTGCCAAAGCAGAGACAGATCATCCGCCGATCAGCTGTTAAAAAAACATCATTTTGCGAAGAATCGGTTCCCGAAGCAGGGAACCAATCATCGCAAAGTGAAAAAACCCTATTTAGACCATCGTTTTGCGATCGCAAAAGTGATTGCAAAAACGTCATCGTGAAGCGGATTCGTCGTAATGCGGGGTAATCCTAAAGCGAGGCACAACTGTATGTGGAACTTTTTATCCTTGCATCCAGTTCCATCTCCTCACATTCTACCTTTTTCTCTTTCTTTCCCTCTGGGCTTCCCACCAGCGGCATGAAATCAAGTCAAGGTCCACACACAACCTCTTATAAGCCACGAGTTGCCCGCACCTCTTTTAAATCCTGATTTCATATGAAATCAGGTCTCACACGACTAGAAACTAAAATTCAACAAAAAAAGGAATGCAGCTGCCAAGTGAAATAACTGAGAGCGCTTCTCCTTTCTCCAAATGAACACCACATTGCTATTTGGCCATGTCAAGTCACTCAGAAAAACAGTGAAAGAGAAGCAAAATCTGGGGTGAGGGAAGCAAGCAGTTACCCACATGGAGGGAACAAAACTCTGAAACGTCAACTCATTCCATTTGGAGAACTTGCACTTATGCCAAGCAAAGTTCATTCAAAAAGATTTCCCTTTCTGCATCTAAACGTCATCTCAATTCCATGGTCATGGGCCCAAACCAAGATCCTTTTACATAATTAGAAGAGTGGAGGGATCCTTAGAAGGGAAGATCCATTTTCTTCCAATTTTCTCACAAAGTAGCCATTGAAGAAACACGCTGATGGTATTTTTAATTAAATGATAGTATGGCCTGCTCACTCTACATAAAGATGAGGATGAAGATAAGGATAAGGGAAGACACTGGAGAAGACACTGTAACCTCTCCATCTCCTACTCTCATGGAGGTGTCATGGCCCAAAGGTAAAGGTTCCCCTTGACATTTAGTCCAGTCGTGTCTGACTCTAGGGGGCGTTGCTCATCCCTGTAGAGCCAGCATTTGTCCAAAGACAATCTTCCGTGGTCACGTGGCCAGCGCAACTAGACACGGAACGCCGTGACCTCCCACCATGGAGGTGTCCTGGCCCAAAGACTCCTCCAAAAACTCCCCCACTGGTAAGGGATACTACCTTCACTGGTCAGGATGAAAGCCTGAGAACAATTCTTCTCAGAGAAAGCAAGGAAAGACTCAGCACACCCCTCTGGTCCTCTTCCAGCCTTAGGGGGCCTCACAGTTATTCACCCGCTGTCCAAGGTCCTGATGGTTAACTTAGTCTGGCCTCAGGCACCCACCGTACACTGACCAAGGTGCTGACTTTGAACATCCATTCCACCCTACTGCCCACTTTCGTATGAGCTAAACCCTGCACTCCGCTTATTTTATCAAGTGTGCGCGCACACACAGTCTTTTCTCCACAGAGGCAAAGACAATCTATAAAGTGTCTCTTCCTGCCTCCTCATCCAATCCTGATCACAAGCCTGAAAGACTGTTCAAAAATCAATCAATGACCTTCAAAACTGAGTGGGAAACTAAGCCCAGGTTCTCCCCACCCAAGCCTGACCACCTTGCTGAATTCCTGCTATTTAGTGTAGGAAGCTGCACTGGATTAGGCCCAAAGAATCAGTGGGGATCTGGTGAGTTAAATCCCTCATAAGTTCTAATGAATTGAATGGGCCTCCTCTAGTGGCGATTTACTTCAGTATAATAAGTAACAAATAGAGGAGACCCTTTGAATCCAGGGAACATATGGAGGAGTTGACTCAATTCCATTGATTCAGTAAGCCTACTCTAGTGTGACGTACTACACTAACCAACAGGATTTGGGCCTCGAACAATTTTACCACTCATGTGAGTTCCAAGTACAACCAAATAAAGTTTGCAAATGTTATTTTGCAAGACTCCGTTTTCTGCACCATTCCCAACTACAACAGCCCGTTCAGGTTGTGAAAATTTGCAAGTTATAATCCACAAAAAGTAACTTTTCCAAGCTCTACTACTAACTTAAACCCCTTCCCATAATCAGAAAATCCTCTGTGAGATTTACAGTTTGTGTTGGAGGAAATGTAAATGCCAGACCATACCAATGCTAGTATCAGCTTCTTTTAGTATACTTTAGGAATGATATACAAGACTTGTAATCTACTCAGAACATCTTAAATTACTCTAGCATGCTGGACATTTATTCGTTCAAGGGATGAATTCTGGTTGGAAGAGACAGAAAGAACCATGATGGAGAGGGAGGAACAAGAGCTTGGCCATTATCTTTTCTGATCCGGGAGCAAGTTGAACAGTTGAATTAACGGGATGTTCGACAGAGCCACGTACGTCAACAAACATAGAGAGCTAGATCCAGGCTATGCCACAGGGAGGAACAAGAGCTTGGCCATTATCTTTCTCTGATCCGGGAGCAAGTTGAACAGTTGGATTAACGGGATGTTCGATAGATAAAGAACAAAGAGCCACGTACGTCAACAAACATACAGAGCTAGATCCAGGCTATGCCACGATTTAGTCTTTAATTTAGTCTGAAATTTTT